AGCCACACCATTCAAGATACTTTTTTCCAATCTTGGACTGCATTACAGTTTGTTGTCGACCAGCACTCTGTCTGGTGACATAGAACGAAACTCTTTCACTAAGTTGTTTATATACCCGTTGAAACATTCTGTGATTCGGCATGCGTAACGTCTCCCAATAAGAACACCAGTACAATCATAAGTGATGTCTTCCCCTACCGAGATATACACCTGCTGCCTTCTATCTGCCATGACTTAGTTTGAAGCAACATCTTTTTAAATGAGTGATAAAAAGTTCCATGTGTGCTATTCTTCATATGAAGCCATTCATACGAGATGTTATGCAATCTCATTTAAAAGTTTTCTTATTGTAAATGCATTTTAAGTTGTATTTATGAATAAAATATCGATTACAACCTGGGTTTCGTATGCGAATATTGTTTGTGTCTTTGTTCTGTATCTCCTCTGCAATGAATTTGGAATAACCCTGTAATAAAGCAGTACATCTGATAATTGGAATTCAACTTGATTTGCCATTCTAAAATTACCAAAAATGCACCAAATTTTTAGACAATGTAAACCGAAATTCATCTCAGTGTATGTTTCTACAGAATGACAACTATAGTGATAATACATTAACATTAGTACTGAAATAGCACTCTTAATTAAAACTCAATGTGCACACGAAACAGAAATTAAACAAAAAACTAAAATTTTACAATTTAATAAATTTATTCCTAGTGTTTAAAAAATCGAATAGTTCCAGCATTACAGTCTAAAAACTTGCAAGCCCCACCCATAATTTCTTTTTCCCTTTCCACCTGAAAAAGTAAACATATAACATTATTTTTTTTATCCCAGCGAAATTCTACATACACATTCATTATAATCTGGCTAATGATATGTTCAAATTACATAAAACTTTCAATTATTTATGCTAGTTCAATTAATATAATTTTTATACAAGTTCATACATATTTATAGATGAAATCTTTATCAGAATCACCCAACATTCCTTCATACAATCGTGGTGCAATAACAACTCCTGAAAAAAAATTTGCACACCTCTCCAAAATTCCACACTTTTATGCATCTATAGAACTGCTTTAGATCACTCTGTGTGTGCTGTTTGTTCATATTTATATAAATACCTAAATTATTTCAGTTTCTTCTCTGCTAAGCAAACTTATTTTTATGCATTTACTGCTTTCTTATCTACTATGGGAGGGGGCATCCTTATATCCTTTCATTCCAAAAGAAAATCACTAACCTAAATTATTTCAGTTTCTTCTCTGCTAATCAAACTTATTTTATGTATTTACTGCTTTCTTGTCTACTACAGCTTTACATGTAATTTTAAAAAAATTGTTCAAGTTTTAAACAATTTGTCTTCTTAAAGATATGAAAGTAAATACATGTACAATAAGGCATTTAAACCTAAAGCTATCTACAAAACATATTAAGAAAAAACACTAAATACCTCTATCTACATATATAAAGTATGCACATATATATAATAAGTAAGCTTGCTAACTGCAGCAAAAAAGGAAAAGAACCAAATTACGGAAATTGTCTGGACAGCTATTAAAAGCACAATGCAGTTAAATGTAAAGCAAAATAAAACACAATAAACCACATTACATTTTTGTGTATATTCATTAGTTCATTTATTAAATTTTTGGCTTCATTACACACACATATTTTTTTATACAGTCAAAAGTCGGTAATTCGGACACCCATAATCCGGAATGATCTATAATCCGGATCTCAAAGCTAAAAACTTTCTGCGCATGCGCCGCGTTGACACATGCGCTACGTCTGCGCATATGCGTGTGCGCAGGCGCAGAATACGCTTTCGCGTGCGCGTTTTATGATAACGGGCGGTATAAGCTAAAATTATCTAATCATCTATTTCAGTTAATGTTGATGATTGCGTTGCTCCTTAATTTTCGAATTGGATCTGGCTTATTATTTTTTGCAGACTGTAAGAGCAATACTATAAAAGTAAACTTGAACTTTCGATTATGTCAAATAGAATTTCCGATTCTGGAGCTCCCAAAGGATCGTACAAAACGAAAGTATGTCTCGATGTCCATCAAACAAAAAGTGGAATTGCTGCAAAAAATGGATAAAGACATGAAAAATGTGACAGAGAGGTTAGTGAAAACGAAAAAATTTCGATTGACAAGTTAGTCGGTATTCTCGGCACAGCAATTACGGGACTTGAACAGCAGAACTTTGTAACTGAACAAGAAGGTACAACTCTAATATACACCCTAATTTCACCAAATGTGGCGATATGTGTTCTGCGCTGGTTTTTGGCGCGATTGCGTGTTTCATGGCAACCCTGTTGACGTTGAAAAATCTTTTCGCTGGAGCTCATTGGATTCGCCGTCTGTATCTGAGAAGATAGAGAGGGAAAGATAAAATGGTGGAAGTTATTGAATTGAAAGTTCGGTCAAAAAGGAAATATATCATTGTGGCTATCCTGTTGAGGGGTAGTTGGTGTTTGGAAGGAGTGGAAAAGAGGACTCTGGGAGATTATTTTTAATGGCAGTGCATGATAGAAGTAGGGATTTGCGATTTTATTTATTTGTGAACCATAGTATAAATTTTCTGGATAGTGTGTCTGGCTGTCATGTAAATACGATAGTGAAGAAGTGAGGCATGTTAAAGGCGGTAAGAAATTGATATTTCTGCTATTCGAAAACGCGTTAATTCATGGTAAGTGCATTTTATTTTATCCTTGTTCTTATTTTGTAGAATGTTATGTTCATTGGTTCTTTAGTATGAATTTCTGTCGTTATTGTTGTTTTTTAAATTGTTTGAAATTTATTTTAGTTTATTTTGTTGCTTAGTGTCTAGACAGTGCAATTCGTAGATGTTTTTCAAAGTTGAAATAGAACGCTGTGTACATGGTATTATTTGAAATTTATTGTTGTTATGTTATTTTATTAAAGCGAGGAGTGCATAGATCGTAGATTCCTTCCTTGCCTAAATTGTGCAATTCGTAGATTTTTTTTAAAGTTTAAACAGGATGCTGTGTACATGGTCTTCTTTGAAATTTATTGTTGTTATGTTAATTTATTAAAGCGAGGTGTGCGTAGTTTGTAGATTCGTTCATTGCCTATATGTGCCATTCGTAGATGTTTTTTTAAGTTAAAACATGTCGCTGTGTACATGGATTCTTGTCAAATATTTTTGGTGAGAAACTTTACGTTTTTGCTATCTAAATTTTTGGTTTTTGTTTCGGATTTTTAGCTAAATTGTGTGTTCAAAACGTAGTTTTTGCATGTGCGAAAACCGCGTTTTTGGAGACATTTTAGGCTAAAAGTTCGAAATGTAAACAAAAAATTTAGATAGTAATATGGCAACGTGAAGTTTCTCGGCAAAAATATTTGGCGAGAAATTTGGCGTCTTGAGGGCGCATATCAGAGTAGTTCCAACAAGAAATTATGTCTATTCATAGAATTAAAGAGAAAATATTATCACATAAAACGAAGCAACTTAAACAACTTACATTGAAATAAATGTTTAATAAAGTAAACAAATAAATATTAAGCTTTTTTTTGTAAATTTTGATACCCTTTAGATCATAATTGTTCTTTATTTCATAAATTACGGTTTCATATTTTTAATTTTAGAATTTCTGCATGCCATCTTACGAGATTTAAACTGATGATCTATACACCGGAAAAATCGATAATCCGGAATCGCCGAAGTCCCGACGAGTCCGGATTAATGACTTTTGACTGTATAACATATTATGATTTATCTTTGGATTATGGTAACTTGGCGATTTTTTGGCGAAAATTTGGCGACCAATTCTGCTACAGCAACCTGCTAGTTTTTGTTTGGACACCATTTTGTTTTCACGAAGTAAAGGCATTTTTTTTTTTTTTTACTCAAAATTTTTTTCCAAACAATCTGCTAGCCAAATTATGCTTATGCTAGAACTTTTATGGAACAAAAGTGCTTAATCATGACGAAGATTAGGTGCGAAATTGGGAAAAAGTGCAGAATCGCCCATTGCTTGCCGCGTTTTTAAGAATTGCACATACACGGTATCATCCATGTACACAACAACCTATTTTCACTTTAAAAAAATCCCAGAATTGCACAAAAATGTCATTGCGCACACTCTTGACTTTATCCATGTACACTACTAAAGTCTTAGCTAGTAACATTTACCGCCTTACCAAATTTTCGCCAAACTACCTATTACCATATTCCAAAGATTAGCCCAAAGATAAGCTATTTATCAACAAACTAAATATTAATCATGCATCCCTTGTAGCCTAAACTCCAAAGTAAAAAAGGAAAGATGTTGCTTCTTGTGGATAAAATAAATATTAAAGTAGAATGGAAAAACTGCCAGTATGGCAAATTAGGCAGCGAAAAATGAACCGGGTATATGTTGTATAAAAAGTAAGTGTAATCATTTGTAAATTTTTATTTATAGTAAACCGTGCCAAATTGTCACCAAAAAATCGACATGTTATCATAATCCAAAGATAAACCTATCTTTGTTTTGCTTTTCTCAAAACTGCATTTAATTTTTTTGGGGGGAAAGAGGGGTATCTGCACTAATTGCCATTTAATCCTTTCATTCCAAGAGAAAATCGCTCACCTACATTATTTCAGTTTCTTCTCTACTAAGCAAACTTATTTTTATGTATTTACTGCTTTCTTTTACAGCTTTACATGAAAAAATATTGTTCTTAACATTTTAATTGTTTTCTTACAGATATGCAAGTACATACATGCACACAATATACTTGAGCCTCAAGTTATATATATTACACTACAACTCTTAAGGTTTCTAATTATAACCAAAAAAAAAAAAGCATGTAAATATACTCAAGTGAGTGTATTTACATGCTTTTCTTTACCCTTTCTTTTATCTTTTCATTTACAATAATAAACACGCAACAAATTACTACACTAAGCCCTTGATATGAAGATTTTTCTCCAATTAACAATTAAAAATATTTTCTATTAAATACAAAAAGGAAATTTACCTCCTCAGGACCAGCAACAACAACATGAAAGTATCGTGCATTGCTTTCATCAGGAATAGCACTAATACCAGGGACAGGTTCTGTTATTAATCTTTGAGTTTCCTGTAAATTGATAACTTTCAGTCTCTGTCAATTACCATATGGCATTTTTGCAAAATAAACTAAATATTTAATAGTAACCTTAATATTACACTGTTATTTTATATATTACTAACATGGAAGGGAAAAAAAACCTAAATTTTACTTAATAGCACATAACAGAGATTGCAGTACTATCAATTGTGTACCTCAACTCTCAAACATAAATCAAAACCAAAAGCTAACATTTTCTTTTATTATGCAGTCAAAATCAATTCAGTAAATTCAGTTCGGCACATTATATATTTTTTTTTTTTTTTTTTTTTTTTTTTGATAAATCATTTAAGAACTTTTGAGAAATCAGGTGGAATAAACTTCAAAACGATCCATGCTACTAATCCCTTTCATTTTTCAGGAATCGCTTTTAAATCCTCAGCAGCATTTATTTAGAAAAACAATGTCACTGCCAAAACAAAGTCCAAAATTAATAATTTCAGAAAAACGAAGTCTAAAATTTACAATCTCAACACAAGTGGTGTAATTAAGGATAAGCTTAAACATTTCAGTAACAATTTGAATACTATTGATAACATGGTAAACGCTGCAGAAATACACTTACCAGAGACAAAAACTTTCATTAATCTAATAGCGCACATTAAAAGTTTTCATATTTATCTTCAGCATTAATAGATTATAATCAAAACCTTTTCTGGAAACTAATTAAAGACATTTGCTTTGCTGCTTATGTAAGTCATAGCTTTTCAACACACTGCAACACACAAGCCAACTCTATACATTTAGAACATTTACTTAAATTTATAAATAAATTTGAAAATATACGACATCTTTATCCAAATGAGTACAAAAATAACTTTAAGCAGCAAACAGACGTTTCCTCAATGAAAAATGCGTTTTTCGCTTTCTTTCTATATAGGTTAAGTTGAGTAACAAAATTAATTTGGCAACTCATATTATTTTAACATATTCCGTATCAGCAGCAACAGTAATATGCGTCGCATGAATAATATACGCACATAGGCAAACAATTTAACTGCTATTGCTAGCAGCCTCTCATTAATCACTAGCACTGCACTCGAATTGATATGAAGTCAACAATAACTTTAAATGATTACACATACATTTTCCTTCACGAATGACTACAACGTCTGCAAAAATGACCACGTTGGCTTCTTAATTCACTCATCATACCTAGCACCAAAACAGAAAACTCACCTTTATTATTCGCCTAGGTAAAACAGCCATTGAAGGAGCGCGAATATTCTATGATTATGATTGTAAAACTGCAATAGCCGTAACTCAGTATCTTATCGCAGTGAAGGTACCGGAAAATAGTTATTGGCTGTCAACGGTGGAGGAAATGACGTAAGAAAAAAACAGCTCATGACATATTTTTTCTTTTTGTTACCCTGATTTCAAGCAAAATGCTCTACTAAAAAAAAATTTACTTTTTACTACCTATCAGCAAAACTGCGCATAACCAAAGAAAAAGAAGGGTATTATTATATGAACCAAAATTTCTACCTTTATTTTTTACTTATATTGAAATCAATCCATACTTTTGTTCTTTTTACGACTCATTCGAGAAACATGCATATTTGTCCAGTCCTTTCCTTTTTACGCCCTGATCGCATGAAATGATAACATTTCTAAAAGAAAAGATATACTACTAGAATCTCAAAAGTCGAATAAAAAATTAATCACGACTGAGCATCTAAGAAAGACATAAGGATTTAAAAAGATATCGTGAATGAGCGGATCAAATCATAATTGCAAGAGTTTGGGAGAATATATTTTCTCCAGCAGGATTGTATAAAATAACAATATTTCAAAAATGCAAATGTATATTTCCGAAAAAGTAAATGAGGGAATTCGTTTATATGTTTCGTTAAAAGTACCGCAAGGGGGAAATTCTTTATGCTTACCACCATCATTACAAAATTCATAAAAAATATCTTTTTTTCCGGTATTTAATGAACTGTTCTCTTTAGATTTCGTTTCCCCGAAATGAAATGAATAACCTGCAAAACCTTCAGATTGATATTTTGTTATGTATATCATTTTCTTAGCGTACATATTTTGTGTGGGTACATTTGTTCACATCAATTGCAATTTCTACTGCACTTCATATTTCCAATCATTTTTATGCAGGTTTGATACAATCATTGTATAGTATAAAACATTAGCTGTAAATGTATTGAACAGAAGAAACCGATAGACTGATCGGCTTAAACATTTTAATCAATGACTACCTTTATCTATGCATTTTGCCATAAAAAAAAATAAAACACAATAACCATCATCATTAGGAAAGCAAGTTTTCTGAAGATGGGGAAATTGAGGGTTGTTTTGAAGATTAATGGTTAATAAAACTTTTTTTTAGCTCGATAAACTGCCAAGTTAAGAAAGCAGTGGGCATCTTATGGACTAAGAACAAATCTGGGCAATGCGTTCTATGAATAACCTGCTTGGTTCTGTTTCTGACAAGATCCGAAGCTATTTGAGATATGGAGCCTGTAACGTAAGAACCCCCGATTAGAGTGAAAGAAAAGACAGCTTGTCTTTTAAAATATTTATTTAAAAAACTTAATAAGAAATTCTTGAATAAATATTAAAATAATTGAATCCTTAAGGCTAATTCATAGAAGCCTTGACGCGGCTACGCCTGGAGTTTGCTTTCTTCTTACAACATCAAAAAGCTTTTACACAAGCTCTCCTCGTTTTTGTCAAACCTGGAAGAAATAATTAGTCCATTTGTCCGAAACAAAGCAGGGGGGTTTCCGCTGCACCTTCCTTCCAAAGGTCTGCTGTCCATTTTGTCTCTGAACAAACAGGTAGATCTCATTAAGCACCTGGAAGTCCGAGGGGTGCATATGTCACAGGCCCTTTACGAGGGATATGAGTCCATTTTTTTTATATGGGATATGCTACAATTTTGGGGGGGGGCTAAGATATAGCTTATGCAGATTATACGTAAATCCTGCACTGATCATTTCTGTGATCTACTGGCGAACATTACACAGTCATAACAATGATCCTTTTCCGATTATATATTCCAGAATCATTTTCAGACAAGACTGAACAGCAAGATCTTGGTTTCATAATAATGAGACTTTGTTGTAATAGAAATTCTCGGTTGCAGAAAGCTATAATTTACTAGTACAGAAATTCATTTAATAATCGCGATATTTATCTTTATACATAACGAATCTATGTTTCTGTAGTGTCTTGTGTGTCTCGTGGGCATCAACGCATTAAACATGTTTTTCCATCAGTAGGCTTAATTACATAAATTTCGTTAATCGTTGCAAACCACTGCACATTTCCGAAATAAATAAATTTTACTATACGGCTTAGAAGAAAATTCTTCTGCTCTCTTTTTTTTCCGTATATTGCAAGTAAATCATGCGTGATCATTAGTCAAATTCTTTAATTTTTTTAAATCAGGTTGAAATAGTTCGAAATTGCTTTAGACGCATAGATTAGTAAGTTCTTAAAGCAAATCTCTTGAAACTCGCTTCGTAATTTATATTAAATTGCATATTATATTTTGAAGCTGTAAGATTTAGATTGTCTTTAACAAATATCTTTCATTTGCTCACGATCTACTTTTATCTTCTGAGCTCTTGGTATCAAGGTTAAAATCCTCCAGCGTAAACTTTGAAACTA